TGTATAGTATTGATCCCGGGCGTTAATCCTCGGTCACCTGTAGCCAATCAGTAAACGGATGCAGTTTCATTGGCTGCATTTCGGTAGACGAGCGTTTCACGTGGCGAGCTAGGTGCCGGAGCCGATTAGCCTCGTTATCCAAGGTTCCATTGTATTTAACCCATCTCCAGCGCGGTTCCAGAGGCTTTATTGGGAAGGGACGAACACCTCGGGCACCTGGTTGACCCAGTGATCTTGCCACCCTAATTTACTTAAAAATGCTATCGCAAACTATTGAACAGGTCGGGGCCGATAATCTTCGTTTTGAGGACTAGACTTCAAGAGCCTATGGGGTGGGGGCGTGAAAATGTTTTCGCACGCTTCACCACGCTGCATTAGTGCGACAAAATCAGGACGGCCGAATGTGGTCAGAGCGATTAGCCGAGTCAACCAGCCGGTGTGCGCTTGTCATACTCTGTGTGGCCTGCAAGGCCAGGCTTATCAAGCCTCTTGTCTCGCACAAGTGCACGACATTTGGTAAAAGGCACCACACTGATCTGCGTTGTAGGTAGGCCTGGGTTATCGCGTACGTGGTCAACCTGCCACGTCGGCACGGATTCAGGACACCTACAGCTGCTCTTAGGCATTACTTTGCTCCCTCTATCCTGCGTGGTTGTAGTGACTCATGCTGCACATACGACCTCGCGCGAAGGCTCAACAAGTGCACATGCACCGCCGTCTACACCCGTTTCCAGGTCGAGTCCTTACTGCGAGCCTTGGCATTAGCTGCCGTGAGAACTCGAGCTAAGCAGAGTGCACCCATTCTTGATTGGCTACAGGGACGAAGCATTCGATGGGCTTCCGGTAATCCCGTATGCTATCGTCACTTCATACGCGGCGTTGTGGTCGGCGGTTACTCGCTCGTCTGACGGTCAAATTCCTCTCACCTATTCTCTACTTCCTACTGTACAGAATAAACTGTTCCTACCACTCTGCCCTCCCATAACTTTTCTCCTCCTAAGGAACCGGGGCCTGAGGGTCGCAGTTACTAGGGTTTGACTTACTTAACCCTCTGCGATATAGGATTGAGCGTGATAGTTGATGCGATGTGAAGTCGTTGCCTAACCGATGACGCCTGCATGTGTTGTGACAATAACTGACAGCTCAGCCCAGAGTACGCGTGTTGTTAACCCATGGAGACACGCTTTGCTCGGCGCGACAGCGACTGAGCCCCTTCGATTAGAACACATGGTAGTGAAGAAGACCGGAGAGTGAGGGGAGGCCGCAGACGGCTGACGCGGCAAGCACTCAATACGCTTACCAACTACACAGCATGCTATGAAGGCTTCCGCGTACGCGGGAGCGCCGTAATAGCGATAGCTTTAAGCACATCAAATTGATTATAGCGAGAAAAGAAATGCACTGTCTCCCCAACTGGCAGCAACAAACCGCCGCCTAGCTGATTGGTCGCCTGACCGGCCATAACCATGGGTTACTATCGACCACTAAACACACTACATGTGGCGTAATGCTCTTTGGCCATTTTTTACGGCATACGAGAAAGGGTGTTCTAATTCGTTAAAAATGCGCCTACTTTGGAGGCTTAGTCACGCGGGAATAGACATCAAACCAACTTCCTGACGCGTTTTTCACTTATGTTGAACACTTTGTGACTGGATGTCCCTCATGCAGGCCCCAGGACATTTTGGAATGCAGTCGTTTTCAGGGCAATTTATCCCCTCGTTATTTGGTTAAGCCGGAGTGGGCCCATTCATACTATTTCGCAGTGAGGTAGTGTTCATCGACGGACAAAAGTGGCTCTTTTCTGGAGTAGACTTATGGGGTGAGGCAGGAATAGAAGCCTATGAAATCTGCCTGAGGGTTCTGTGGCAGTCCGCGATCAGGGTGACAGTCTCTCCCTCACGCTTCTAGTCGATCCGCTGCAGTCCTGTCAGCGTTTTGCGCCTCGGTCATTTCGAAGCCTATCAGGATGCACCATTCCCCTGGTGGGCTGCTGACGAAAGGGGACATGCCCGGGGTCCAGTAAG